GGTGTCAGTGGGAACTTATCTGAGAGGCAGAAATTGCTCATTGATCAAGGAACCCCTAGCAACCTCTGGAGGAACCCTAATGTGGCATGGAACCCTGGTTGAGAAACCTTGCCCTAGACATAAATGAGCACATAACTAGCACCTAGCCCCACTTCAAGGGTACATTTTTTACTATTCCCAGAGTTGGGCATTAATATTTCCCCCTTTCCCCCTAGCCTACCATATATTTTGTTTAGTGGGCTGCTGGGGAAAATGTGAGGGTGCTGGAGTGGTGGATCATGAGGTTGGGCAGTGCTAGTAATGTAAGAGCAGTTAGTATGCTTGCGTTACATTACAGTGTTAGCGGGTTTTTATAAACAGCTTTCATTTACCGGGAAATTATAATAGTGTTGAGCCAGTTTTCGTTCTCTCTTTTTTTAAGTTTACACCCTCTTAAACTGTCTCATAACGTTTAGTTCATTTTCACATGTTCTTCAGTCGCTACTTATCTCCTTTGTTAACCACTTGCCCTCCAGAGTATTTACTCCCCTTCCTGACCAGGCCATTTTTTGCGATACGGCGCTGCGTTACTTTAACTGACAAATGCGCGGTCATGCAACACTGCACCCAAATGAAGCTTTCTTTCTGTGGTATTTGATTGCCTCTGCATTTTTGTTTTTTGCGCTATAAACAAAAAAAGACTGACAATTTTGAGAAAAAAAAAAACGATATTTTTGGCTTTTTGCTATTAAACATATCCACTAAAAAAAATTTAAAAAATCAAATTTCATCATAAATTTAGGCCAAAATGTATTCTGATACATGTCTTTGCTAAAAAAATCCCAATACATGTAAATGAATTGGTTTACGTGAAAATGATAGTGCCTACAAATGTATATACTGGAATTTTTTCCTCCCAGTGACACCAATACAGTGATCAGTACTAATAAAAAGCACTGACACTGTACTAATGACATCGGGCAGGAAGGGCTTAACATATGGGTTGATCAAAGGGTTAACTGTGATGTTTTACTCCCCTGTCAGTGATACTCATCGGGTGCCCGCAGGGTATCACCATAGGGACCTGGTGATCGACCAAGCCCTGAAAGAGTTTCTGCCTAGCGTGGACTCACTTGGAAAGCATCTACCACTAGAGCCAGTCATCCCCCATGCCACAATATATATTTATTTATTTTGCCATATCATCTATATACAGAATATACTGCATTTTCCAGAGATACAGAATAAATATGTTAAATAATACTACTATATTACAAGGTGGCATTGGGATCTGCACAGTGTAACAAGCCCTCAAAGATCGAGGACAATTAAAATGAAACTTGGCATTAAACATACTGAGTGGCAGTGGTGTGCAGTGGGCTCTGCCCTCACCAGCTCTCAGCACTTGCCTGTAAGACATACAGCTATGATTCATGGTGACTGGTCCATGATACATTTCAGACAGCTGTGTCAAACAGCTGAGAAAAGCCAATTACAGCTAAATAAATGTTTTCCTTGCTGCAGCTTTATATGGCAGAGGATAGGTGCTATTACACGCTATTTTCTATGACACCGCAACACTACTGTCAATTAAAGAGGAGCTGTCATCCAAATATCTTTTACCCCATTTATATATAGTATGTAATACTGACATTTCATTGTCTTAATGAAATGTTGACAGTGTATTAGTTGGCGGTCAGGTTTATTTGGGGAACTGGGGAGACAGTAGTCACATATTTTAAACAGTAAGTTTATAGAGGACCCTACATGGATTTCTGAACATTTGTCAATTTTGTTGTTGTTGTTTTAAACCATTTTTTTCCCCTTTTGACAGTATGGTAGCATGGCTTTGTGGATAAACAAAGACACAAGAGTGACATAGCTTTGTTTATCAGCATATCATTGCTTACAATGCAGTTAATGAATTATTTTTATACCTGCTATTTTTTTCTAGGTACATGTAAAGTGGTTCTGAAATAAATACTTTTCTATACTATACAGGTTCACCAGGTCCATCAGGCCATCTTAAAGCGGTATTAAACCCAAAGCCAAAAATGTAATATATTGCAGATTACCAATCAGATGTGGTGACTGCATTAGTTTTCTTCTCTTAGGCCGTTTTCCCTTTTCACCCAGTGAACTGGCAAGTAACACACCTCCTGTACTAGAGTGCTCCCACTCTGGATGAAAGAGCACAGGGGGCACCTTTTGACAGCAGCATTGTCAGTCTGGGGGAGAAGGGAGTGTTAGAAGTACTAGCAGATTTAAATACACTAACAAATTGAAGCTAAACGCCAGCTAGTGCTTTATAAGCAGTTAAAGCAAACAGTTTTTTTCCTTTTGGGATAAAGGGTTTACATAAATAAAAGCTGATCATTGTAAGCACCCCTGTCAGTGTTAAATGGTTTGTCTCATCCTTGCAACTTTTAAATTCGGCTGGAGAGACTTACTGGCCAGATCACCAAGTGAAATTAAAAGAAAGAAAGCAAAAAAAAAAAAGAAGAAAAGGAAATGAATGCAGCCACCACATCTAATACTGTACATGGTAAGCTGCAGTATAATAAATATTTGCTTTGGGTTTAATACCGCTTTAATTTCACCTTTTTTTTTACATTTCAACAATTGGCTACATTTTGCTGAAGTGTTGATGATGGTGCTAAAACATCATAAAACAAAGACTCTCTAAAACAAGCCATAGATGAAGCAATTTTCTTTCCTGCATCTGCGGGTTACAGGAAAGCAAATAGTTTGGATCCCCCATTAACACAGTCAGTGTTGATGGGGTTATCCCTCCTGCGGTATTATTGTGTTCTGCTAGTAGGTGGGTAGGTCTTCCTTGCCAGCAGAACACAATGATTACTGCTTGCGACTATAGACCGCTAGAAGTGATCACATGCTCAAAATCCGACAGGCTGGTTGTATTGATGTTGATTGACAGATAGACTTCAGTACAACCAGCCTGCCCATATATGGTTCAAATCGATTTAAGGCCGGCCTAACTCTCTGATCCCTACAGCATTGCTATACATTCCCCATTATAGGTCATCACACCATCTGAATATTCTAACAAAAGACCCTGGAGTCTCCTCCCCCTGCTGCATGCACATAGATAATATCACTGAGTGAAAGTTGCATGGCTTTTAGATGATTGCTGATGGTTGGCTACACTAACTGACAATCTCTACACTGATCCCATCCTTCCAGTAACACCATTTGTCCTGAAAAATGTCAGCATGCCTTAGTAAAAGGGAACTTATAATAGATCTGAAACAAAAGCAGGCCAAAGTCTACAAGACAGACTACTCATATTTGTTGTAGACTGGGAGGTTCTATTTAACAAAACAGACATTTTGGTAGACCAGAAAACATTGATAATTCAATTTTGGAAGATGCTGCAGAGTTAAACCACCGTCAGGTTTCTTACTAACCATTCTTGGCAAATTTGGTGATCGGATTTGTACTTATGAGCTTTCATGTCTCCAAACTAACATGGCCATTATCTGGGGGTCCTGCCCCCTCTCTGGTGAATGTTTAATTTATTTTATAGTATGGAGAAAACAGCAAGAGGAGAGGTAATGTCCACAGAAGGAAAGAACAACCTGAAAATGCAAGGTCAATGGGAACTGAACCAGGAACAATAGCAGGCAGCTCTGTCTGTGGACAATAAATATATGAGATGCCAGAGGGTGAGTCAACCCAACAGATGTCACCCACACCTGATATCCCTTTTTGAGAGTTTCATTGCAATGAGTACAATCCGCAGCTGCTTTCTATTGGTACCTGCTCTCTCTGTTTCTTTGTACTGTGCAATTAAGTAGTACCATAAAGTGGATATAAAAAGTCTACACACCCCTGTTAAAATGTCAAGGTTTCTGTGATGTAAAAAAATAAGAAAAAGTTACATAATTGCACAACTAAATTGAAAAAAACTGAAATATTTTAGGGGTGGTGGAGTAAACATAAAAAACTAAAATAATGCGGTTGCATAAGTGTGCACACCTTCTTATAACTGGGGATGTAGCTGTGTTCAGAATTAAGCAATCACATTCAAAATCATGTTAAATAGGAGACAGTACACACCTGCCATCATTTAAAGTGCCTCTGATTAACCCCAAATAAAGTTCAGCTGTTCTAGTAGGTCTTTCCTGAGACTTTTTTTTAGTGCATCCTACAGCAAAAGCCATGGTTTACAGAGAGCTTCCAATGCATCAGAGGTTTCCCCTTGTTAAAACGTATCAGTCAAGAGAAGGGTACGAAAGAATTTCTAAGGCATTAGATATACCATGGAACAGAGAGAAGACAGTCATTATCAAGTGAAGAAAATATGGCGCAACAGTGACATTACCAAGAACTGGATGTCCCTCCAAAATTGATGAAAAGACGAGAAGAAAACTGGTCTGAGAGGCTGCCAAGAGGCCTACAGCAACATTAAAGGAGCTTCAGGAATATCTGGCAAGTACTGGCTGTGTGGTACATGTGACAACAATCTCCCGTATTCTTCATATGTCTGGACTATGGGGTAGAGTGGCAACACGGAAGCCTTTTCTTACGAAGAAAAACATCCAAGCCTGGATAAATTTTGCAAAAACACATCTGAAGTCTCACAAAAGCATGTGGGAAAAATGTGTTATGGTCTGATGAAACCAAGGTTGAACTTTTGGCCATAATTCCAAAAGATATGTTTGGCGCAAAAACAACCCTGCACATCACCAAAAGAACACCATACCCATAGTGAAGCAGGGGTGTGTAGACTTTGTATATCCACTGTATTTGTGCAAAGCTAAATGTAAAAATTGGTCTCCAGTCATTTTTTTGTGTTGGAATGTTACCCTGGATCCCCTGACCGTATCAGTTACATTTTTTATTATTATTATTAATATTATTATTATGCAGGAATTATATAATTTGCACAACGCTTTACAACATGAGGGCAGACAGTATAGTTACAACACAATTTAATATAGGAAGATTCAGAGGGCCCCGCTTGTTAGAGCTTACAATCTAAGAGGGAGGGTCAAGTGATACAAAAGGTAATACCTGTGGGCAGGGGCGGACTGACCATTTGGAAACTCGGGCACAGCACGGGGGCCCGGGGTCAGTAGGGGGCCCCATGAGATGCCCCTGGTACCTTTTTCATAGGCTTTTTTGAGTTTGGGCAAGGACACAGGGGCCCCATGATCCCCTATTGCCCGGGGGCTCCATGAGTTGTCAGTCCACCACTGCCTGTGGGGATGAGCTGATGGAGAAAATAAAAGTACAGTTGTTAGTTGGGGACAGAATAGGCTTCTCTGAAGAGAAGGGTTTTCAAAGCTCATCTAAAAGCAAACAGAGCAGGAGATAGACAGATTGGGGTAGGCAGTTCCATAAAATGGGAGTGGCTCAGGAAAAGTCCTGGAGGCAAGCATGGGAGGAGTTGACAAGGGAGCTAGAGAGCAGGAGGTCTTGGGAGGAATGAAAAGAACGATTAGGTTGGTATTTTGAGACTAGATGAGTTATGTAGCTGGGAGCCAAGTTCTGGATTGAACCTAAACATTTTTCTGAAGTGGATATGGGCCCCATTCTGCTGCATCCCACATAATATCTCAAAAAGACACACCCTTACTTTCCCTTTAAATGATCCTGTACTTCTTCATTTTGTTAGGAATTCTGTATATTGCCCTATAGAACAGACTGCTTCACTGCAACAATGAAACGGGAAACTGTATTCAGAGAAAAGACTTAGAGTATACCATAGATGCAGCTACAAACTTATAAACACTGCCATCTACTGGATGAAGAATATATCTCTACTGAATACTGATGCCACAGTCTAACAGTTGTTGCCACGTTTAAAGTGGTTCTAAAGCCTAAACATTTTTACCTTTTTTATGCATTTTCTGCATTACGGTAAAAAATGTTTAGGTATCAGTATTGCGCCCCTTCCCCCTTAATACTTACCTGAGCCCATACTCGATGCAATTCTGTGATGAGTGACAGATGTTGTAATCCTTCTCCACTATAAAATTAGAAAATACATTTTCCTTTCATTTCCCTTTAATGCTGAAGGATCAGATGAGTAGTAGCACACGCAAATATTGATGAGGCTGAATATCAGAAGCTACATGGGAAGGGACGATCACTGACAGATGAAAGAGGGGAGGCTGGAAGGCAGGTACATACAGAATGGAGACTATTACCAACATGAGTATGTCAGATTTTTTTTAAAGGAAAAGTACAGCCAAAGATTGTTTGGTTGTACTTCTCCTGTGGATCACAGGAGTGCAGTTTGTTCTGCACTCCTGTGATCCTTTTTCAGCCCTCAGTGGGCTAAGGTGTCACAGTGCTGGTCCAGGCTGGGGAAAGATCGCAACCATATGGTCAGGATCAGGGGCGGACTGACCATTCGAGCACTAGGGCCCAGGGTCAGTAGGGGGTCCCATGAAATGCCCCTGGTACCTTTTTTATATGCTTTTTTGGGTGTGCTTTAAGTGTGGGCAAGGACACAGGGGCCCCATGATCCTCTATTGCCCGGGGGTCCCATGAGTTGTCAGTCTGCCCCTGGTCAGGATCCACCTAAGAGCCTGGACTGGCACCTAGTTCAGCCTAGTTCAGTCTCTCAGCACACCGCTGAGAACCTGAGCCAGCCCCTCCTGCACTCACTCAGTGAGTGCTGGAGGGGCAAAGTAGAGAGCGGTGACTGACAGTCATCGCTCTCTGCTCAGAGTGGCAGGGAGAACTGATTAAAAGGGTTAATAGTTAACTAACCTCTGTTTTAGGCTTATTAACATTTGTTCCCATGAACAGGAGGTTCCCTGGAGAATGGAATGTGTTATCTACCCAGATAGAAGAAAAATATATTTGAAATATATTTTAAAAATATTCTTCCCAAATATATTGACATATATTTGAAATACTACAATTTTGGCCATATTCAATATATTTCAATAAATATATATATGCATATATATATATATATATATATATATATATATATATATATATATATATATACACATACACACTGTATGTTTAAATGCGTTTTTTATTACAAAATATATGTTAAAATTACTTTTTTATATGTTAAAAAAAATCTGAAGAATATATTTTAAAAAAATATATTTTTAAAAATATTTTTCATATATTTTGTAATATCTAAAAAACGCATTTTAACATGCAGTATATATATATATATATATATATATATATATATATATATATATAGTTTTTTAACATAAAAAAGTAATACAGTATATTTGAAATGTATTTTTAAAAATATTATTCATATATTTTGTAATAAATACGCATTACAACATAGAGTATATATATACTTATTGAAATATATTTTGAAATATGTTAAATATGGGCAAAATTGTAGTATTTCAAATGTATGTCAATGTATTTGAGAAGAATATTTTTAAAATATGTTTCAAATATATTTTTCTTCCATATGAGTATGTAGGCGTCTCTAGGCCTTGAAGAGTTGTAGAGGTTACTATCCTGTTTAGGATAGCTTATGACACACCACATCATGGTAACATCTATACCGTATTTTGATTGGTGCTTTACGGAAATCACCTGAAATATTCAGTGTTATCACTATACTTAAACTCAAGCCATAATAAAGATCTCTGAGTTCTGCATCTCAAACTTTGGTGTGTGACTTTCATTATTCCCAGAGTACTTTGTATTATCTGGAATGATTGGATGGAGAGAGTCGGTATAAAATTGCTAATCCTAACACTGATCGCTCAGTTCTCAGCCTTAGAGCTGGCAAGGAACAGCATCGGATCAATGCTACATCCACCTAGATAGGTATGATTTAAAAAAAAAAAAAAATGTTATTAGAGGATCCAAATCATAGCAATGTCAGCTCTTAATAAGTACTAATTGTTACAAATGAGTCATCTTAGATGATTTCTTTCTAACAAGCTTTGTCTTATTTTATTAATTAGTATTGTGGAAAAAAATCATAAAAAGATTGGTAACACATTATAGAAGTGTGAAATATTTTGATGATTCTATCAGATAGTGGGAGTTCACACTTCTCTTGTTCTATAGGCTTGGTTTTATTCTCAATATCTGTTATTCTGTATGTATGGATTCTCCCATCCACCCCCATCCCCCAGCCAGTGTTAAAGAATAATAGTTCGGTGATTTCCAGCTTCCAGCGGCATCAGGCAGGTATGCCATCTACATATTTACGTTGGTCCAAGCAGGGCTTTTTTTCTCAGAGAATAGGTACAGGAACTCCCCCTTTCAAGTCACTACTTGTCTCCTCCCCCTTATCCACCTCCTACCCACTGCCCAGTACCGCTCTCTTTAGAGAACACAGAGCCAAGTATCATTTTGTGGTGCTAAGTCATTTGTATGGGATTTGTTAATGATAACAAGTAAAGCAGTAAAAATATATCTCCCACAGCCAGCAGCAATAGAGCCCCCCCCCAACAACAACAGATTTCCCCCCCTGCACCAATATATTCCACAAGAAACAATGGACCCGCCACAACAAAATACCACCACAGCAGCAACAACAGATCCCCCAGCAGCCAACATCAATAGACTCTTCATAAGCCAGCAACAATAGACCATTCCCTCGACCTCAATGCAATGTTTAATTGGGCAACTATGTGGCAAATGAGGTTTAATGTTGATAAATGTAAGGTTCTGCACTTGGGGGCTAAGAATATGCATGCATCATACACACTGGGGGGGGGGGGGTACAACTGGGGGAATCAATGGTGGAGAAGGATCTGGGAGTTCTGGTAGATCACAAGCTTAATAATGGCATGCAATGCCAAGCTGCGGTTTTAAAGTGAGCAAAATCCTCTCTTGTATTAAAAGAGGTATAGACTCCAGAGAGAGAGATATCATATTACTCCATTACAAATCATTAGTAACACCTCATCTGGAATATGCAGTTCAGTTTTGGGCACCAATTCACAAAAAGAACATTGGGGAACTGGAGAAAGTACAGAGAAGGGCAACCAAACTGATAAGAGGCATGGAGGTCATCACAGAGGACAAGGGGGCACGCTTTACTTCTGGAGGAAAAGAAATGTAATCTCCAAACATGGAAAGGTTTCTTCACAGTAAGAGCTGTGAAAATGTGGAATAGACTTCCTCAAGAGTTGGTTCCAGCCAGCTCAGTAGATTTCTTTAAAAAAGGACTGGATTCTTTCTTAGAAACACAGAATATAAGTGGATACTAACATTTATAGGTAAAGTTGATCCAGTGAATATCTGATTGCCTTTTGGGGGATCAGGAAGGATTTTTTTTTCCACTGCAGAAGCAAATTGCATCATGCTTTGCTGGGTTTTTTGCCTTCCTCTGGATCAACTATGAGTGTAGAATTATAACTTTTTTTATGGTTGAACTGGATGGACTTTTGTCTTTTTTTTAGCCAGACTAACTATGTAACAGTAGATCCCCCACCAGCAAGAACAGACCTCCCCAGCAACAATAGACCCCCCCCCAGCAACAATAGACTGCCCCAGTGATCCCCCCGCAGCCAGCATCAATAGTCCTTCCAAAACACCCCAGCACCCCTTACCATTACATACATTCAGTGGAGGTGCCAGAACTGCATTCCTCCACATTCCCGCTGACAAAAAATCCCTGGGTCCAAGCTGGATCAATGTAACTATGTATATTATGCTGATACGTAGAATTATTCTCTAACCGAGACAAGATATTTGTCTAAAAGGCTTTATACAACTTCCTACCTTTTATGCAACAACAAATTAATAATTGAATATAGTGCACAGGGGTTAGAATCTGTTAGGCAGCAAAGGGGAAAAAAATCTGAGACCTACTGAGAAAGCACTAAAAACCTGACAGAGATTCTAACCCATCTCAAAAAACTAATTCAAAGGTTCTGACTTGTGTTACACTTTAATAATGTGATACCAAATACCATATTCTGAATAAAGCGTATTGTTGGCCAGTTTTTTTGTGTTAGATAGAAGAAGAGATGCTAAGAGCCTAAGATCCTACTGGAGGAATTTCCACTCCCTTCCTGTCTTGGAGACACAATGTTAAAGAAGCGGAAATATCTCTGAGAGATGAGAAGTGAGAAGCATTCTCCTCTTAGTTGTCCCCAAAACTGGAGTCACAATTGGAAGACGTTTTCCCTCTATTCTGTTATGGTTGCAACTATAACATTTTGGATTTTCTATCATTTTCTGTCCCAGTGACCATGGTCACCAGGACAAATGGAGAGGGTGAATTTCCCCTGACAGACAGCAATAAAACTTGACAAAGTAGAAACATAGTAGACTAATGGCAGAAAAAAGACCAAGTGGTCCACTGAGTCTGCCCCATTTTGTTATACTTTAGGGTGTTTTTTTAAGTTCACTGTTCATGTCCCTGTCCCTGGGTTTTTGATCTTGGCTTCAAATTGAAAATACTGCCCTCCTGAACCTTACAAATCAAGTCTTATCTGCCAAAAAGTGTCACATCCATAGAAATATTGAAATAGTCTTGGTTGGAATTTTTTTAGGACAAAATATTGTATCCGTTAGTGCCTATAAAAACCAAGACTGCCCCTCTGAACCTTAATCACCCCCCTGATATATTTAAGGGTTTCTATCATGTCTCCTCTTTCCTTTTTTCCTCCAGACTGTACTGTATATTTATTTCCTAAACTCTCTTCTAATCCCAACTCTCCTCCATTCTATCTGAAACTAAATTATAAATATGTGGGCTATATATATATATATATATATATATATACAGTATATAAAGCATATCTAAAGACCATTTTTTTTTAAATTTTGGATAGAGTAGCCAATTGTTAAAACTCTTGTCAGGTTTTTTTTTGGCCATCTGTATCCTACTCAGGGAGATTTCCCTTTTCATCCTGTCCTGTAGACTAGAAATAAGATGAATTTTCATCAAAGTACAGAAAATCTTCTCTATGGCAGTTGTCTTTAAAACAATGTTCCCATTCCAATATTTTCACTCTATTTCTGTTCGGGTGACATCTTTGGAATTTCCCTCACTATTAGTCCTCGAAGCAATGATCACCAGGACAAATAGGGAGTGAATCTCTCTACTGGAATCACAGACAGTAAAAAATACCTAATGGGTTCCAACCCTCCCCCACTCTATCCAAAACTAAAAAATGTTTGTTTCAACATTAGATCCACTTAAATTTATCATATATTGTACCATGAAATCTGACAAAACACGTCATACTGTAGTAACTAGGACACAGTGAAAGAAAAAATTCACAATGCATACAACGATCAGCCACCATTATATGACTCATCTGTCGCTAAATGCACCCAAATGCCTTTGATTCTTGAGCAGAAAAGTGGCACGACCTGGAGTTTCAACTGTGCCTTAATAAAATGGGCAACCATCCAGCTTAGAAATGAACTGTCAGCTCTAAGTACCGCCAAAAGTTGGCTTATGTGCTTCCAAAAGCTACACAATGAGAACGGTTTGTTTTGTGATAAAAGCATAGTTGATGGCTTCTTGCTATTAGGCATGGGGAATTCTTGCGTCCTTTGATGTTTTGTTGCTGCGAGCTCTGCAGA